CTAACAGGAATTTCCCCAAACGGTCTTTTAAGGCTATACGGGGGATCTTTGTCTTTGTGCATCCGCTTGCGTTGTACAAATCCTTATCCTTCTGCTCTAAATTCTACTCTGTCATACCAAGCCACGGATAATTGATTTAGCTTTCGCCAAAATTCTTTGCTATAGGTTACTTTCATGCATGTGATGCCCGTGTGGAATGCGCATGCGGCCGTGATATTCTTTGATGTTTCGTTCAATGTATATTTGCCGTACCGTAGCAATATCGAGTCTCTTTGCTGTCAACAGATTTCTATAACGCCCGCATTTAGGTCTGAATTAGAACAAAGCGCCGTTCGCGTATTATTGAAAGTTGTTTTTTCTTCAGCCGTGCAGCCCCTTTGTAGTCGAACCCCACCAAAGTTGTAATTAATAATGAATTCCTGCCTGCATTATTCAACGTACTGTAAATGTAACAAGGCATTAGTATACATCGTCGCCTTATACATGACATATTTTGGGCGATGAAAAAACAACGAGTTTCTGAAAATGTGCCCTCCGCGAAGCCACGTGCAGTTTTCACGACGTTACGAAACAAAGGCAAAGAATCCCCTCCCCCCCCCCCCCCCCAGATTAGCCTTGACACACTTTTGGGGCAAGTGCTACTGGTGAGCACCCATGAAGGCCAGCACGGCATACAAGGTGGTTGGGTGGCCAGCACCATGCCTGTACCCGCCCTTCGTTTCTCGATTGGCGATGTTTACACATCGCATCAGGTGCTCATTTATGGCCGAGTGGACCTAGGGGAGGCCCAAGGCCGGTTCAGATATTCGTCACCGATGTTGGTCGCGAGCGGGATTCGAACTCGCCGGGGTCCCACGCGTAGTGCGCTGACCACTGCACCACCGCTCCCCACATGACGCTACGCCACGCACGCTCGCACAAGGCACACTCCCCGAGTGTTTTATCCTCATATGATGCATATCGTTGGTGGAAAGTTCCCTGGGTGGCACATACGGCCCAGTTGTTTTCACACGTAATTTTGGGCAGGTGTCAGCGCAAACGAATGTCCCATTGCCTCTCTCACTGGATCTTTGGATGCTCTGCCCTGCACCGCGATCTGGGATGGGGTTTGATCGCGGCCAGTGAGTGCTGGTTTTTTGTTGTTGTTGTTGCGCGCTCGTCGCGATAGGTGGTGGATCGGGCGGCGGGTCTATTCCCTTTTGCTGTGTAAAAGGCATTTCCCTACAGGCTGATGGGAAATTCAGATGCACGCGGAGAGAACGCAGCGTCCAAAAGTGTTGCTCCCGGCGGAGATACGCGGCGATGGTGGAGGGTGGTGGGGTTGAGGGGGGTGGAGAGGCTTGTGGGTGGGGAAGCGCTTGGACAGGGATTTTTAAAGGCCCTTCAGAGACACTTGTTTCAGGCAGGGCCCATAATTTCAAAAGACTCTGAAGCAATCGCGTGCGTCAGTGAATATTTCGAACGAAAATGTTGAACGTGTGAAATTCATTGCTACGTAATTATTTTACGCGATTTCTTTTGTTCTATAGCCTGCCGATATTTATTTATATTTTTTGTTAGAAATGTAAGCGTTGCATCAGCGCGTCGCGAACGGGTGGGTTTCTGCAGCTTACGCCCATGTGTATGCTGGCACGCGCTTATACAACGCACTAAAAACGAACACATCTCGCAGATGAGATGTTAAAAAAAAAATGTCATTCCAAGTTTTTGTTTTTTTATAATCGTAACTTTCCCTTTGCTATAAAACTGAAAATCTTTGCAACTTTTAGGGGGCGGTGGGGGAGGTCGGGGAATTTATTGGTCGGAAAAAAACGTCACCGACGATGCAACCGCGCGTCCAGCATCGAGCGGCGAAGCGCCGAGACGCAGTGGCGGAACGCGTTGTTTGAGATTCGCAGAGGAACATTCGCTCCGCCCGTTCGTTCAGAGCGGCCAGTTCATGTTTTTGCGCCGACTAAAATTCCGTCTGATCCATTCGCTGCCGGCGCACGAAAGGCAGCAGCGAGTCGCAAAAAATCCGCGTGAAAAATAAACATCGTCGGCATTTCGCGAGGGTTAAATTAACACGGCAAGCGCGCCGGGGATGGCACTTTGTCGTGATGGTAAGCAGAGGCTGATATCGACCGACGAGAGCTGTTACGCAATTTCCACCCGCCTATGAAAATACACAGTGGCAGTGCGTGTTCATTTGAAGGGATTTACACCGCCTGTACGCCTTTTTGAAGTTACAGAATATGCATTGGCACAAACTATGCAGGGTAAGTAGTAAAAACACTCAAATAAAAAAAAGAGTCGCAGACTAATATGGGCGCAATTGGAACGCGCAAACACATCCGTTTACGCGATTCCATTCACATGCTGCGAAGAACGTGCAAATGAATAAATAAATAAATACCACGTGTATCAAATATTATTTGGCTTGGCACCTCAAAAGAGGCTGTACAATTTCCATTTGTTGGGGGGTTGGAGGCGGGGGGCATGACAGGAATAATCAAGATGCATGCTGGCATTCGCTGCAGAAATATTTAGTATCGGGCTCCCGCAATTTCCACGAAAGCACGAGCGGTAGTAAGCGGGGATTGTCCCGTGTTTATGTCTCTCCGTTTTTGTTGGCTCTCCGTCTCAAATTAAAAGGTACGGGGGGCAAAAAAATAGAAGAAAAAACGCGAGACAAAAAGTGTGCCGTTTAAAAACAATCGTCAGCGGCGTTTGACACCGACTGTGCGTCCGAGCATCTGGGCGACTGTCCTTTGTTTTATTTAATGTGCAATGCATTTTATTTTTTAATGCATTAACAAAACAATTCGAAAATTAAAAGATTTAAGATTAGATTCGTGACGGAATAAGTGGTGTTTTAATAATTCTCGGTTAAATCTAGAGTTCAATCTGATTACGTTTGTCATTGTAACACAATTTTGTACGAACAATTGTAGGGCATAAATATTGGGGGGGGAGGGAAGATATAGTTTAAAAATGTTTCGATAAATTTCGGCAGTTTGTTGTTTGACATCGTTGTGCACAAATTAAACACTTCTCCATTTAAAGTCATCATCATCATCATCAAAAAAGAGCATAATTTATCCACCGCTAGATGAAGGCTTCCCCACAATCACTGCCGTTAGCTCACGGTCTTGCTCGTGGCACCGAAATCCACCTCGCTCCTGCACATGGAGCCTATCTCATTGCTCCATCCCTGTGAGGGCCTCCGTCTTGCGCAGTTTCTCCCTTCCGGCCGTTCCTGTACCCAGTCGCCGCTTGGCTCTCGCCCCCACCCCCCCCCCCCCCCGCTACGGATGTTTCCTGCCCAAGCCCCGCTTACTTAAGTCAATATGATCTGTTTAATTTGTGTTTGTTCTCTGATCCGTGTGTTTTAAAATTTTCGAATGTGGTCCAGTAAAACGTGGGTTATAAACATTTACGACCTGGAAGTTATTGCGGTGAAGTCAGTCCACTTCAAGTGTGTCCTTTTCATTGCCGTATTCATTGACACCTTGTACCTCTGAGCACGGCACACGTGATCTGTGTGATGTACCTGTGGACTATGTCGACAGGCTTTCATCAAACAGATACGGATTCGAACAAATACGGTCGCGTTCTTTCAGATGGCCATCTGGAACTCTCTTCCTTCCGATATTAGGTCGGGGAATTTATTGGTCAGAAAAAAGCTATGCACTTTTATATCTAGAGATCTGATTTCTTTACAACTGCTTTTTGTGTTTAGTTTGTTGTCGTTCCCCCGCACCTCCGATGAGCACGATTGGTTATGTATGGTGCTAAAGAAGTTCAACGTACGTACATGTTGTTGAATTCCATTGGAATGATGGAGCAGTGATTAGCACGTTTACGCTATGAACCCATCGACTTGAGTGTTGATTCCTGGTCATGGATAATGTCAGTGGCAAGTGATATCTCAACCAATCCTGGGCCACCATTTTTTTTTGACCAGAGTGGAGAAGCATGGTCAAATAACCCCCATGGCCGACATTGCTATAGGGAGGTCTTCAACTAGCAGTAGAGTAACAAAGGGCTGCAAGTTAGTAATTCTATTACTCTCATAGAAACTTGATTTTGGTCAAAGCCACCAATTTCCCTCGCACTTTATTTCTCGTCGAAACGTATTAACGTGGACATTCACCTCTTACGTGACTCAAACATTCCAGCGATTAAAACTCAACCAACGAAAAACAAAACACTTGAAATACATCAGGACTGAGAACCCATTTATTAACGCCTTCCGACAAGATGTTTCATCTCCGATTAGCAATTCAAGTTCAACATACAACGGTCGAAAGCGTTTGTGTGGCGTTAGTTCCGTCCGTCTGTCGCGGGCAGTGGAGAGGGCACCATACCTCTCGTAGCTTCGATCGCAGATGAACGAATCCCTGTTGTGAGTTTGTGTTGCTCGTAGCGATACGTTACCGATGCGGCGGTGGTTCTTAACCTTGGGTGCACGCACTCCCCGGGGGGATGCGAGATGCCATTTCTGGGGGTGCGAGACGTGAGCGGATCTTTATTGGAAGGTAAAACACAATCTTGATTTGAAGCTTTCCTGACTAGGAGCTCTTTCTCCTACGTCAGCAGTTCTCCTGCTGTGTTTGTTTCATCTGATGACGATTGCTAGTGTTGCGATCGAAACGTCGTGATCTATTAATTTTCTATCTACGTAACTTTACCGAAAGAACCAAAAGAGTTGGTAGAACACACATTAACCACGGGCACGTAAGTAAAACTACTTTGTTTTCATCAAACCAGATGTATTTATTAATATGCATTTTTTTTTTACGATTGAGAACCAATGGGGTGCAAGGCTGCGGTGAAGGTTAAGAACCACTGCCCTGCGGGGAGAACAGACCACACCGATGGAAGGGTCTGCCATCACTTCACGAAGGCGGCAATACGCAACCTCGCGAACCTGTCGCGCGAACCGACACTTGCGCGCGCACTCTAACCGGTTCGCTACACCGGCTCGCGCACGACACCCGGTGTCGTTCATTCCACAGGGCTCTTCGACGACTGCTTTTACGGCCGACACGACAAGGGATGGTCGCTCGGCATCGTCCACGTAAACCCTGCCGGGACGCATCACGGCGGCGCCCCGACCTCATCCGCCGCCGCGGCCGCTCACCCCCCGGCCCGCTCTCGCTACTTCTTCTCCCTGAACGCCGACAACTCGCGCTCGGCCACGACGCTCGCGTCGCCCCTGCGCTACGTCCCCGACGCGTGGACCCACCTGGCCGCCACCTACGACGGCCGGCGGCTCGGCCTCTTCGTGAACGGCGCGCGGGTCGCCAGGTCGCGCGTGTCGGGCCGCGCGGGGCCGCTCTTCACCCCCGAGGTGGCCATCTGTAAGACGCTGGTGGTGGGCGGCGACAACGCGCGAGGCGAGCGCGCCTACCGCGGCTTCCTGAGCGGCCTGCGACTCTGGCGGCGGGCGCTCGGCTCCGGCGAGATCCGCGCGTGGGCCGAGCGAGGCGTCCGCTCGAGCGGCGGCGCTGCGCCCGTGGCGGACGTCGTGGGCGGCGGCGACGACTTCGACGCGCTCAAGGTCGGCTGGCTCACGGTCAAGGGGGGCGCCTACCCCCGCGTCCAGTCGGTGCAGGCGAGCGAGGCCGGCGACGGCGGCGGCGCGGAGACGACGGCCGGGGCGGCGGTGTCGTCCGCCGGGCCGGTGCTCGTGCCGCCGCCGTGCGGGCAGACGGTGTGTGACAACGTCCACGTCATCTCCGGATACAATGGCTACTGGCCGCTGCGCGAGCCCAAGGTGGTGCGCTACCGCCTGGTGAACATCTACGAGGCCCCCGGTGAAAACCCGACGGTCAGCCGCGAGCAGATCGAGGACCAGCACCGCGTGCTCAACCAGGCCTTCCAAAGGTGGGGGCGGGCGGCCTGCGTGTGTGTGCGTGTGTGTGTACTTACAGCAAGTTGGCACAGTACGGGGCACAGGTGGTGCATCAGCCAGTCATCTTAGTCGTCTCAGTCAGTCGACCCGTGGCACCTGCTGGGTCTGCCCCGTGACCTCCTGCCAGCACATGGCGTGGCACAAGCGTCGTGGTGACGTCACCGCCACATAGTGGTGAATGGCGGTTGTTGTTGTTGTGTGTGTGTGACTGAGGGGAGCGGCAGTGCGGCGGTTAGCGCGCTGCGCTATGGACCCGGTGACCCGAGTTCGGTTCTTGCTCACGGCCAACACCGGTGACGAATATCTGAACTGGTCCTGGGCCTGCCCCTAGATCCATTCAGCCTCAAATGAGTACCTGTTGCGGTGTGTAAACATCGCCACTTGGAAGACATAGGCGGCCAGGCGTCGTGCTGGCCACCCACCCCTTCGTGTGCCTGTGCCGGCCTTCATAAGTGCTCGCTAAAAGCACTTGCAGAAAGTGCCTGTGAAGGCTATCCAGCAGATATTTGTCTTGTATGAGTATGTGGGGAGCAAAATCCTTCACCATCTGACATATCTCAAACTAATTAAATTGTCACAGGTGTGTACAAGCGCCAGACGTGGCAATGTTGTTGTTTCAATTGTTTCTTGTGATCACTGCCAGAATTGTTCTTAAATTTTACCGGCGAGCTGAAACAACGTTAATTGGTGCGTCAAGAGCTTGCACACCACGTGACCACTAAACTTGTCGGACGGAGGAGAGTTTCTAGACAGAACATTTGGCCACGTAATCTACGCCCGACCCCCTAAAAAATCTATTGTCTACCGGTAATGCTTACTTTTATTTGTGTCGCACAACAACCACGACCCCGACCTGACCTCTGCGAACCTGCGCGCAGGTACAACATCTCCTGGGAGCTCACCGTCGTGGACGTTGTCAATGCCTCGCTGCGCCAGCGCATCATCCTAGCCAACTGCGAGCACGCCAAGGTGGGCAATCAGAACTGTGACCCCGAGTGCAGCCACCCCTTGACCGGCTACGATGGAGGCGACTGCCAGCCGCTCTCCGGCCACTACCCATCGTCCTCCTCCTCCTCGTCGTCGTCGTCGTCGGGACACGCGGCCGACTGCAATTTGGAAATGATGGAGAACGGCGTTTGCGACCCCGAGTGCAACACGGCGAAGAACGCGTTCGACAACGGAGACTGCTGCGAGCAATTCTCCGACAACATGACGAGGACCTGCTTCGATCCCGAGTCGCCCAACAGGTGCGGCGTGCGTGTGTGTCGTGCGTGTGTGTCTGAGGTTTTTATTTTATTTCAGTTTTTTTTTTAACGGCAAATAGCGCAGAGGTACACGCGCGACCTCCGAATGACTGATGCGCATGCTGGCGTAATTGCACCGGTCGCCAGACGCGATGCAGTGCCGAGTTCGTCGCCGAAGATTGCCGCTGAGCTTTGTTGATGGCTATGGTTGTCGCCACCATGTCTTGCTTTTCCCAGGATTGTCCTTAGAGGTTGCTGCTGTTCTGGGAAGTCTTTAATTCTTCCCAGGGCGATTCAAAGTCTCCGTTTTGTCAGTTGTGGAAAAATCCACCGCCCGAGATGATTCGCGTAGTTTCCGGTATTGTGCGATATTATTCTTGCCATGAAATACGCCGTAATTTTGTGTATCTTGGAGGTGGCGATGCTAATTTGTGAACGCGCAGCAAGGTCCATCTTACTGGCAGACCCTGAAGGTGTTGGCCTCGCTACAATAATGGGATCTGGCAGAAGGAAGAAAGTTAAAGGTTATTTCAATTGTTGCATGGATGATCCCATTTATCGAGTTGCCCGGATATTTTACATGAGAGCACAGCATCAGCGATAACAAAACAACGACAACAACTTTAAGAAAGAAGTGCATGGTAAGTTGCGGTCACATCTGTGGCATCGGCCATGGCGATCTCCCGACCTTGACAAATGTCACAAGGAGTGTTATTGAAATGTTAGCGTGCTGATTTTTTGCTTTAATCGAGCCTAACAGATCAACAAACAGCGCAATTGAAGATCTGATAGATGGGAGTGAATGCGTTTCTTGAATCGAGCATGGTTATTCGCACCTCCGATTAGCGCGGTTGGCGATATAAAGTGCAACATAAGTTGAACATACATTGTAAGAATAACACATTGGCTTTCGCGAGCAAAATTTTCCATAAAATAGGTTTTTTTGGGTTAGATCGCGTAAATTAAATTCTGGCTGCCTCCTGATGAGGCTGGTTGTAATTACCGGCGAAACATACTCGAAATGTAAATGCTGTTGCTTTACTCTCCAACACACCGGTGTGCTAAACTAGTAACCAATTCATCTTCTTGGTTCTTTCGTATTTTATTATGTTTTATTTTATTATTTTATTATTTCCCTTCTACATGACTTTACCGAAAGAACCAAGAAGATGAATCCCTGAGGTCACGAAAGCTTTAAATCGACATAGTAACCAATTGGCACGTTTTGTTTACGCGACAAACCTTACGAATTGGCTGTGTCGGGTGGTGGCGGGTTTAACGACACATTTATATTTAAGCGACCTAACTCTCCCTCCCCAAAAAAACCTCCTCTATCATGCATGCATTGTTAGAACTTGGCAAAAAGATGCAGACAGAGAGGTGGCTGAGCGCAAGGCATGGTGTTGGAACGCAGTGTACGAACACAGCCACGCGTGCGCCGGCGATGGAATTGCCCCGGGTGGGCGGCTGGCCGGCGGGGTCGCTGCACTGTCGATTTGCTGATTTCAGATAAAGGGTGTTGAGTCCGACTGACGTCACGCGTCCATTCCAGAGCACGCGGCCAAGCGTTCGACCGAATTCACAATCGCTTTTCTGTTCGACAGATAAATCAATGGAGTAACGTCAATGTCGCTGCCTTTCGCCGCAAAACAAAAAAACACTCTCCCTCAAATGTAGTGGAAGTCGGTTATAAGCACACCATATGTAAGCAGGCTACTAACACAGGGTTGTCAATCATATAGGGTTTTTTATTTGATATATTTTAACAACTATTCAAAACTGACTTCCATTAACGGTAATGCGAGCATGAAATCTCTTTTGGAAATTAATTCAGGACGGTTTTTTTTCAGATTACAATTGTAATCTTTGAGCCTTAATAAATTACGTATCTTCTCAATTTATTCAGGGCTCCTTGTCGAAAAGGAAGAAGAATAAAAATATGTAATAATGATAACAGATACAATATTAACTTAAAGAACAAACAATTAAAATGTTTAATGCCAGTGTTAAATTAATTATTCAACCGTTTTAATACGCATGTACTCTATTATATTTTTAATTGTCAAAAGTGATATAGGTTTTTTTTATTTTTTTAGGTTAGGAGTAGCGTTGGAATGACTGTCCGAAACGCATCCCTCATTTCTTGCATTAAATTAATGGGAAAATCCATTCCCCTTTACAACATTTAGTTTTTTACGCGTCTTCTTCTGAAGAACGCATCCCCTGTCGTAAATCGAGGGATGCCTCTGCACCTGCCTCTGTTCACCATCTCGAGACGCGGACGTTTCTAACGGGGCCGCCTCTTTCCTCCCGCCCAAAGAGGTCACGCCCCGCGCGTCGCGCGTTCTTTTACAAGCTGCGCGTTCTTTTCCGTTCAAAAAGGATCTACCTGGACGTGAAGGAGCTCAAGGAGATCCTGAGGCTCAACGGCTCGACGCATCTCAACATCTACTTCGCCAACTCCGTGGGCGAGGATCTGGCCGGAGTGGCTACTTGGCCTTGGGATAAGGAAGCTCTCACCCACCTTGGTACGAGCCGATGTCTCGCAGAGCCTAGTACAGCGGTCCTCCTCAATCACGTGGGGGGAGGGGGGTGGGTGACCCCGGGTGAACCCTTCCTGGGGGGAGGGGTGTGGCGGGGGAGCACGGAAGCTTCTCAGGGGGGGGGGCTGGGGGGCACGCAGGCTGCAGAATGGAGACCGTGCGGGAGAAGTTTGGAATGTGCAGAGGGAACATCGGCGACAATACACACTGATACGCGGCGCTAAACGAGTGTCTTACTAACACTACACACACTGATACGCGGCGCTAAACGAGTGTCTTACTAACACTACACACACTGATACACAACGTGAAACCAATGCCTCACTCACACAAAACACACTATGGCACAACGTGAAAAAAAATGCCTTACTAACGCTTTGCTGACTAGAGGCATGGACATGTATTCTCTCTGTATTGTGGTCTTAATATTAATATTTATAAAATGTTAATGAATTAGTAATTAGTTATGCAAATATATGTTACAAAGCAATATTTGCTCCGTCACTAAAATAACGTTCCAAATTTTAAGGCAAGCGCGCTGCGAATGATCGATGTCGGTCAAGTGCATTCAGAACGCCGGATTCGATGCAGTTTTGTGAAAACTGCATCGAAAAGCGACTGGGCAATTGGGAAATGCCGGAATATTTGCTGTGATTGCCGCAATGAAGTCGTGGAGTGCTGCCAATTGACAAGAAATGAGCGGGGAGACCCAGGCGGACAGCGGTGTAACATAACTCTCGCCTCGCGATCTACACGATTAGCATTATGCTAATGCCTCGGTGGCTGGGTGGATGTTAAAGGGCTCTACAGATCGTTATTGGTCATAATTACCACCGCTCTTGTCTCCTCCTGCGGCTGAGCCGTATTTATTAGACATAATACAATGACATGCATTCATTTGTAACACCTTGTCCGTTCGCTGCTCTTAATAATACTTTCATTTTATACGGCGTCATTCATGCTAAAAGCGTGACCACATCGCGGTGCATTCATTATATATGAGGACCAAATCTCGTAGACGGCCACTATCAAGCAAACGAAAACCCTACTTGTACCCAGGAAAATAAAAAAAACATGAATAAACAAATTAAGAAATGGCACCAAAACAATTAGCACAAACAATAAAAAAAAGTTTTCACAACAAATTCATTATTATTATTCAAGAGACAATACAATAACGTAGACTAATTTGCAGTGCCTTGTCCGTCCGCTGCTGGATTAATGCCTCTCCCCACGCTGTGTCGGACATGGGAGTCCTTCGACCATACTTCACCATACAACGGTCGGTGCAGGTTGCTACTAAAGGGGGGTGGAGAGGCGTGTTTGCCGAGGGACGCGTTCAGATATCCCTCACCCCTCTCGCGTTTAGCCCTGGCCGGGAACGGAACTCAGGTTCGTCGGGTTCGGCGCAGTGTGTGAAACCACCGTCTCGCTTGCACCCCGTAAGCAATAGAGATGCGTGTGTCGTTTTGCAGGACGCCCATTCGGCTTCATTGGGCTAAACAAGGGTGCTCGCTGTGCAGTTTTAACGCTCAAAGCAACCGCACGACGTTTCATTCGAATAATTAGTGCGAAAATGGGAAAACGGCATAATTCTCAATCTGATAATATTACAATTGCCGCTTATATTCTGACGGAGATGGAATCTGTTTTTTTTTTGCTCCGTCTAAATTATAAATACCACAATTGAAGTGGCTGCAATTATCCACGGCTTTAATCACGTGTTTTAAATTGGGGCCTTCTGTAATTTCCGTCTGCGCCCGGGTCGACGTCTCGCCGCCATCTCGCCGCCAGTGTCTGCCACTGTGATGATTGCGTATCGATTATCAATCATCGTAATTAATCGTTCGGAACGTGCAGGTGGCGTGGTGCTCAATCCCACGTACTATGGCAAGGCCGGACACACGCACACCATCATCCACGAGCTGGGCCACAACCTGGGACTGTACCACGTCTTCCGGGGGGTGTCGGAGACCGAATCCTGCAACGACCCCTGCCAGGAGACCACCCCGTCGCTGGAGAAGGGGGACCTCTGCGCCGACACGGCCCCCACGCCGCAGAATAAGCTGTGCCACGACCCGGAGCCTCGCAACGACACCTGCAACCAGCGCTACTTTCAGCACACGCCGTTCAACAACTACATGAGCTATGCCGGTGAGGCTACGCGCCAATTCCCCAGGGGTTACGTTGGGTCCGGCTCTGCCTACCGCGGTAGGTTTTCGCGGTCGCGCCGTGACAGCTCTCTCCCACCCATTGCCGGACTTGTAGCATGATGTTATAAGGGGACCCTAAATTGGAAAAAAAACCCATAACTATTTAAACAAAATTTTCACTTGCATGGTAAAGTAATTGTATTTTTTCATTTGCTTTACAGCCAGATAATACGACAAATGGCTAACCTTAAACACCCAGTCGTTCGTACAAATTGAAGGCGGTATAGTACTATAGTAATAGAGCAAGTGCAGAATCACTGAACCGGAATTGATAGCTTGGAAGAATTTAGCGCGGGGCCCTTGGAAGTGCGGGGCCCGTAGCACGTATAGCTACTACATGTGTAGTAGTAGCCCGTAGCTACTACATGTGAAGCTACTCGTGCTACGAGGATAATCCGGCACTGCTCCCATCCCAATCCCGCCGCGCGACGTGCTCTCTGGTCGTGCCGCGTGTCGTTTGTCGCCGACGGTTCGCTCCCGAAGAAGCACGTGGTGCGACACGTCGGACAGCACGCCAAACAACACGTGCCTCGACCCAAATACACATCGGTGGGGGTAGGGGGCAAGAGCTATTTCCGCGCCCCGGTCACACCACATCCAGTATAACTCTCGCTATTGCTGTGCCTACCGCTGGCCACGTGCCACCTACTGCGGTCTACGAGCGACCCCGGAATACATTCGAGGAGGAGTTAAGTCCCGACTCCATCCAGGTCCATGCACGCGATTTGTCGTCATTCCCCGGCACCTCCGATGAGCCACGGTTGGACACGTACGGTGCGAAAGAAGTTCAACGTGCATACATAAAAGATGTAGCGTTCACGCGCCTATACCAGCGGCTCCTCCGTGCTGTCGGCAAAGTTTCCACTCAAAAGCAATCGGGAGTTCGCCTGTCACCCGTTGGGGTCGCGTCAACAGATGAAGCTTTCCGCACTTCATGTGGGACACTCTCACAGCCAGCGGAGGAGCGTAACCACCACGTGTCTGAGAACCGCCCTAAGGGCCGTCCATAAATGACGTCACGCACCTGGGGGGGGGGGGTGGTCAGACATTTGTGACGATGTGTGACGAGGGGGGGGGGGGCAGAAATGTGACGTCACATCAATATGCACAACTTTAAATAAATATACTTATATTCTTGGTTTTTTAAATCAAAACGTTCAACTTAATTAAATAGACTTTTTAAATAACTGTTTTCGCCTACAACATCAGAGTGCAGCGCCACATTAAATACGCACTACAAAGACAATAGTTTAAACGATTTGAGCATGTTTTTTTTTGGGGGGGGGCAGAGCTTTGTGACGTCATATTTGAGGGGGGGGGGGGTCTGACTTTGTGTGACGCCGTGTGACGAAGGGGGGGGGGGGGTAAAAAATCGTCCAAAATCGCGTGACGTCATTTATGGACGCCCCCTATGACAATGACGCCATACAACTGCTGCTGCTGTTGTACTTCTGAGGTTACTTCAGTCCGCCGGGTTCAAAATAACGTCATGTGCCTCCCACAAAGAGCGTTTTCACGTGTTCGTCAAACTGGCCATGTCCCGTTCTCAGAGGCACAAATGAGCGAAAATAGTCGAGATGCGAACGAGGCACGGTGGCGTCTATTGTGCGCGCGTTTATTGGCGAGCGGTTCGACCGAGTGGGGTCATCAACGCCGCCACACTTGAGAACCTCCTCTGTGATCATGGACGGCTGCCCGGATTCAAACCCCGACTCTCAGGGGGGTGCTGCTCGATTTCGGGTGCCTTTCATTCACGTCGTCTTTGTCTCCCGAGTAAACCGGCCACTTCTCGACAGCTATTTAACTTTGATGTTTTTTTTTTTTTGGGGGGGGGGGGGGGGTATTTGAATCCTCCTGATGACTAATGTGTTTCAGGAATATATATTTTAGAGAGCCGTTTACATTTGTTTTTTTAATATATAAATGGTTCTCCATTTGTAAAAGAAACTACATCTTTTATTTTTATACATCACCATTATGAATAATTTTACTCTGTCATTGTTACACTTGATTAAAGTCAACACATGGTTAATGGTACGACTTCTGGGAAGGGCAACGTGTTTGAATTATACTTTCTGGAATATTTTTTGTCCCTCACCGTAAATTGACACGATGTCTCTCACAAAGTGAAAACCACAACGAAGTAATGTCGGTTGAAAGACAAAGATCCCCCCATATATACACGTTCACATACAATCATTCACTAATGTGTACACGCATACAAAAACACACGCACACACGAACGCGCATTTTCACGCACACATATGCAAACTTACACACGCGCACACATACATGCACACGTACACACACACATACGTGGACATATATATAACAAAGACCAAGATCCCCCGTATAGCCTTAACAGACTGTAGGGGCAAGTGCTGTTAGCGAGCAACTATGAAGGCCGGAACGGTACACGAGGGGGTGGGTGGCCAGCAAACGCCGGGCCGCCTTTGTCTCCCCAGTGGCGATGCTTACACGCCGCACCAGCTACTCATTTTAGGCCTGAGTCGACCTAGGGGATACCCATAACCGGTTCGGATAACCTTCACTCGCGTTGGCCCTGGGTCGGGAATCGAACTGGGGTCACCGGGTTCGTGGCGTTAGCGCGCTAAACCGCTACGGGACTGCCACACACACGCGCACGCACACGCACAAGACACGTGTGCGCGTGCGTGCGCGTGTGTGCAGACCGCACGGTTAACGTGGACCACATTTCTGGACGGGGAATACCGCCGAGAGGGTGGTTGTGCAGGGGTGTGTTCCCCGCAGTGAGAAACCTTCCTGTGTCCCTTGTTAATGGGGCATTGCTGCACACAAACCTGCCGTCAACTCACCCGTGCGTGGCTGAAGCTTTCGCCTTTCGAGCGAATGCATCGTCCCAAACGCTACTTTCGCCTACGTTTTCAGATCACTGTTGACGAGTTTGCGTGCTACCGTTGGTGTGCGGAAATGTCAGAGCCATTAACATTTGAGTCGCGCACCAAACTCGTGACGGCTGTGGCGATGGTCGTGCAGTTCTCCGACTTTCGTTCGCTTAATAATCCCTCTGGCCTGTGTCTCTCCGCTAAGAATGAGGGCAATTCCCCTATACTTCACCTATTTCTCGGTGTTTGTCTTCTCCTCTGGCGGCCAGTTGCAATTGACGAAAGCGTTGAGATTTTTGTGAATTGTCGTCGTCGTCATCTGTGAGGTGGATCGGTATTTTTTTATTTTTAAATTTATACCATTTGTAAATAAAACAACAATCGGAACGTTGCTTCTTCACACACACACGCGCGCCTACAATTGTCAACCCCCTCGTCATTTCCCACTGCTGGATGAGGAAGTGCCCCATGCCTTGGGGGGTAATTTTTTTAACGTTTTCGTATTGTGGATATCATGATGGACACGATGTCAATCGACACACGTTACGATCCGAAACGATTTCACAGAGCTAACACGACAAAACCCTCTTCTCACTAACAACAAAGAAAGACAAAGTTCCCCCGTGTAGCCTAAACAGACCGTTGGGGCAAGTGCTGTTCGCGAGTAGCACCTATGAAGTCTGGTACGTCAAACGACGGGAGTGGGTGACCAGCACCACGCCCGGCCGCCTTTGTCTCCCTGAGTTGCGGTATTTAGCACGTAGCACCCACGTACTTATTTGAGTCTTGAGTCGACGGGTGTTGGCCGTGAGCGCGAATCGAACTCGGGTCGCCCGGGTTCTTAGGTGCAGCGCGCTGACCGCTCGCGACACTGCGACCCACAAAGACGGAGAGAGAGAGAGAGAGACGCGCGCACGCACGGCGACTCAAGTTACGACGTTTCAGGCTGGACGCAGTGGCGGACGAAGCTAGTGCGGGGCCTGTGGCGTATGCTATAAAGGGGCCCTAAATAAAATAAAAACAGACACATTAATATTAAAACACTAATTTTTTAAATATTATTTGGGTCTTTCGGTAAAGTCACGGAGATCGGTTCAAAGAAAATAACAAACCTATCTACCGAAAGACCCACGAAGAATATGAATTCCTGCAGTCACGAAAGCTTTAAGTCAACAAATGTTTTACTTGCGCAGTAAAGTCATTGTATTTGTTCATTCGCTATACAGCCGGATAATACGACGAATCACTAACTTTGAACACCCAGTCGTTCATAAAAGTTGAAGGCGGTATAGTACTATAGCAATAGAGCAAGTGCAGAATCACTGGACCGGAAATTGATAGCTTGAAAGCATTTAGCGCGGGGGCCATTGGAAGTGCGGGGCCCGTAGCTACCACGTATGTAGCTACTACATGTGTAGTAGCTACTACATGTGTAGTAGCTACTACATGTGTAGTAGCTACAACATGTGTAGTAGCTACACATGTAGTAGCTACTACACGTGTAGTAGCTACTACACGTGTAGTAGCTGCACGTGTAGTAGCTGCACGTGTAGTAGCTGCACGTGTAGTAGCTGCACGTGTAGCAGCTGCACGTGTAGCAGCTGCACGTGTAGCAGCTGCACGTGTAGCAGCTGCACGTGTAGCAGCTGCACGTGTAGCAGCTGCACGTGTAGCAGCTGCACGTGTAGTAGCTACATGTGTAGCTACCACGTGTGTAGCTACTTGTGCTACGAGGACAATCCGGCACTGGCTGGGCGGAGGGATACTCGCTTTTAAAACGCATTCAAGGCTGCTCGCTGCTGCTGCTGTTTGCTGCCTGCTGCTTGCTTAGTCCAGCTTCTCGCCGGTGGACTGTCAAGACCAGGAAGTCATTATATTGCCGGGTTAGCGTTAGAGAAAGAGGGGGGGCGGGGGGGTGGTGGGCCCCTAATGGCAACATTGAGCTGGCGAGATGGGCTCACAAGGAAGGAGCGCGGGGTTTTAACGCACGGAGTAGAAACAAAAACCTCACGCAGTCTCCCCCCCCAGCCAGTACTCCCTCGCTCCCTCCCCCTTGGGGGGCCCCCGGGTTGGG